CGAGGTACCGCCATCTTGGTGCACTCGTTTCGGCCTCCATGAGCGAGAACCAATCAGAATTGGATTTTTTTTTAGGCCACTTTCAGCCCAACCCTGGCCCAACCAAAAGTGAGTTGTAACTCTGGGTATAAAGGGACTCTAGTCAGAAATGCAGAAGGACTAGTTCCAGTATTTCCTAGGGTAACCTCGAGCTCTAGTGCTTATTGCCTCGCTGATCGCTCCTAAGAGCGAGAAGCAAAGCAATCGTTAACGATTTCCACTTCCCAAAGACCACAGACATGGACGAAGATATTACATTAGGACCTTTCTCTGGTGTGCGAGATCCGAGTCCGAGCGTCAGCGCGATCTGGCAGAAGCACTTTTGAGTTATTTAGAGGAGCTACTCTCAAAATAGCTATGTTTATGCGAGCCTCTTAACCTAACTTCAATCGAAACCTGAGTTTGAAACATAGAGTACAATAGAGTCGCAAAGTACTGGAGCGGCGATGAAGCCAATCCATGAACAGGCGTTTCCGAGCCGCGTGTGCTCCGAAAATAGTGAACCATTTGTGAACCCAACGGCATTTTGTAACACGGCGGCTTATGGAGAAATCAAGAACTGCTTGTGTTTTTTAGGTATTTTATAATTCAATCAGCATTAATTTTTGCAAATTTTGCTATTTAAAGGTAGTCAAAGCCATAATGAATCCATTGATGTATATTACTCCTGGATAATATTCATATTGGGATTTAATTTCTGACTTATACCAAGTGTGAACCAACCGGCATTTCTTATCACGGCGGCTTACGGGAAAAGCAACGACTGCCCGTGTTTTTTCGACATTTTTTAATTTCATCGATATTAATTTGTGCAAAGTTTGCTATAATTAGATAGTCAAAGTCATAATGAATCCATTGATGTATGTTACTCCGAGATAATCTATCTATACTATAAGCTCCAAGACCTCCTAATTTTGCGAAACTGGTAACGCTAAGTTTCAGCGTTCTACCGGGCCGATTTTCATGATTTTTGCGGCTATCGACAGGCAATTGTCTCTAGATAAGCCAACTCTTTTCAGATTTTCAAAATATGGCCCAGGTTTTTTTATATTACGTGGTAAAGTTGCGAATTCTCCAATTTAAACAAGGTAAATTTATACTTTTTATCATAGTTCGTTTGAGCGTTCTACCGGGCCGATTTCCATGATTTTTGCGTAAATCGACAGGTAATAGGCCCTAGATGAGCCCGCTGCAATCAGATTTTGGAAAAAGGACCCAGGTTTTTTTAAAATCACGTTATAAAAGTGAGTGAGTTTACAGAATGCTACAGTACTGCTACCGCTATGCGCGGGAGGATGCGCAATGGTCGAGGAGGTTGCGCAGTAGCTGGGTAGCCTGCGCATCAGCTCCACACTTATCTACACAAGATTCGCATACCTACGACTTCATGACGAGCGGTGGCCGAGTCGTCTAAGACGTAGAATGCATTCGCTTGGATCACAGTGTGGGTTCGATCCCCGACTCATGAAATCTTAATTATTACCTGACTTTCACTGTTCATTGTTTTATTGCAATATTTCATCAAGCAGTCATTCCAAAACGCGTCCTTTTAATTTTAAAGTATTTTAAAGTAAAGTTTAAAATTAAAGTATACCTCATCGTATTTTTTTAGGGGAAAAATAAAACTAACACTGATAGGAGGGTAAAAATAGGGCCTCGCGGCCCATTGATGGCGCGGAGCGCCTTCAGGGGGTTGGGCCGCGTAGCGGCCAGGGGGTATTCATAGTATTCATATTCGGCCCCCTAGTATTCATATATGGACTCAATTTCAGACTTATTACCGGCCTACTTATTTTAGCTGGTTCAGTGTGTGTCTAGCCGACGAACGGAGCCGAGTCGGGACTGTCGGGAGTGGGGAGCGCTGAGCGCGAGTCTCTGCGTATCTGCGTATGCGTCGTCGTCGTATGCTAGTGTGCGGCGACCCGCACACTAGTCTCCGGAGAACTGGACAAAACAGCCTCGAAAAGTGACTTCATCGGCGATCCAGTACTTTGCGACTCTATTGTACTCTATGGTTTGAAACCAAGGTTCAAATCACGGCAAGGTACACTCTACTACAGGTATGGACAAACGGGGTGCCGAAGTGGCAGCGCTGAGAAAAACGGCGATCGAGTGACGTATGAAGTCGTACCGTCCATTTGCCGCGCAGGTCTTCGCAGTCGTACTCTCGATGCTGTCAAATCTACGCGTTTTGACGACTTTCTAAAATTTCATTTGTCCATACCTGTAGTAGGAGTTACGACAACTCACTTTTGGTTGGGCCAGGATTGGGCTGAAAGTGGCCTAAAAAAAAATCCAATTCTGATTGGTTCTCGCTCATGGAGGCCGAAACTAGTGCACCAAGATGGCGGTACCTCGAATGTGAACAAGAATAATGAAAATATTACCTAATTGTGGTTTATCAAGAGTAAATTGTTATTTCCATCGGTCCAAAATGAAAATAGATTAAGAAATTATTCACAAACCAATCTCATTTCTTTTTAATTGATCAATTTGTTGATGTTGTTGTTTTTGTGTGACAGACATCGCAGGATTCCTGATCCTTATCCCTCAATATCGTTCGTTTGGGTGCACTCGTTTCGGCCTCCATGGCCAGCCAAGGCCGGCTGCGAGTCAGCTGATAATCGAGTTGTCTTAACTCTGGGTATAAAGGGACTCTAGTGTAGAGTCCCTTTAAACTGAGAGTCAAGGCAATTCGGCCCATGGATGTCACAAACGGGAATAAAGATTACAGAAATTGAACGTTTTTCGTAATCTTTGATCGGCCCATTCTCAAATGCCTTTCTCCGTTCCTCCTCTCATTCCGTTTGTTCCTTGCCGAACCCGTAATACCCTGGTCCATTTCAGATTATAATCTTTGCAATTGGTGAAAATGTAATCTTTATTCCCGTTTGTGACACTGTGGAGGCCTAAAATACGGGAACCAATCAGAAATGGATTCAAATTGTCTTGACTCTCAGTATAAAGGGACTCTAGTAGAGTGTACCTTGAAATCACCATGGAAATCACGGCTTAAACGATACGAACGAAATGTAGGTTTCCGAAATTTGTGTTTGAAACCTTATTTTACACTACAGACTAGGTTTTCGCACTCCGCATAAACGAACCGGAGGTTGAAATTAGTTGAAATTCGACTTCAAATGCGATTTTCAGGTGCGCGATCGGCAATACGGCGGATTTATTATCATACCGTTCGTAAAGAACTGGTGCTTATCCCACGATTTAGCTTTAATTTTGCCATTATTCAACATTTTTTACAATCATAATTTTACTATAATTGTTGCTTAAGCACTTTTTCGTGATTCCTTCAGTTATATGTGGCTTACTTATTGAGCGCGCCGCCCTGAGGAGGGGGGAGAGAGGGGAAGATGCATCCAGCAAACGCTACGTCACAGATGTCATGAGGGGGGTCGTCGCTCCTGATTGGCCAGGGTCGCGACCTCTGCCCTCTCTAGCGAGTCCTTCCGAAAACTGCACTTTTCGGGAGCTCTCGACTTGAGCTTGGCCTCGCCAACCAGTCCCGTTCTCCAGTTGCCAGCGCTTCGACTTGTCCTTCGCTTTCCTCGACCACTGCGCAGTCACAGCTTTTAGCCTTGCCTTTTGGATTTTGCTCTTCCAGCACCTTGGTCTTTTTCTTTGCTCATTTTTTCTCATCAGCATCCTGGTAAAGTTTATGATTTGCTTTCCACTCTCTCTCTCTCTCTCATTTTCTTTAGTTTTTTAGCTATCACTCGAGACAGCACTTTGACGAGTGAGTAGTTCTGTTTTCTTTTACGCGCAATCGCAGGTGTTTGTGTTCTCATTCTCCCTCATTTGCATTACGCCGTCGCCGTGTAGTTAGTTTACGCCTTCGCACACTTGTGATGAGTTTTGAGTTATGTTTTTACGCCGTCGCCACGCCTTTTAGTATGCCTAGCTAAGCACCACATTTTGAGCCGCGGACATGTGAGTTGTGAGTTTGCCATGGGGCTTCCGCCCCCCTACGTCTTGGACTTGGCCAGCCGCCATCCATTCTAGCCTTATTATCAGCATGTGAGTAGTTGTTGTATATTTTGCGGGGGGTATCCAGGTTAGGTTTAGTTTTCTTTTTCTCTAGTTTGCCATTTTCCTTCTTCTCTTAGGTTTTTCGCCCTTTTACCCATAAAAGGTCGTGGTCCCTCGTGCCATTTTCTCTGCCATTTAGCCACTTTCCTCTCTTTCCTTCATTTTCTTCTCATGCCATTTAGAGGGTCGGATAGGGGCCGCAGTCCCCCCGATTTCGACTTTCCTCACTTATCCTTATTTAGCTAAACGTAGGACGTTATTCTGGGTGTAGTTCGGTACTCGGGCTCCTTTTTAGACCCATCAACGGTACTCCCTACGCAGTTCGGTACTCGGGCTCCCTTCCTAGAAGAACATACGCCATGATTTGACGCGGCGCCTACGTAAACCCAATATCCACAAGCCTGAGGACCTAACTTGTAGTCCTGTAGGTTAGGTTACGTTACGTTACGTCAGGTAAGTTACCTTAGGTTGGGCTACGTAAGGCAATGCTCGGGTAAGTTAGGTTAGGTTAGGTAAGGTTAGGTAAGGTTAGGTTAGATTAGGTTAGATTAATTTATATTTCATTTTTTCCTCTAAATAATAATTTTTATTACAGAATACACGACAACATCGTGGGCAGTNGAGATTTTATCATTTTACCTTCAATCTTACTTGAAATTTTTCCATCGCCCTTAGCCTTAAGCACTTAGTATAGTTTATTTTTTCAAATTTTCCTCTGCCATACCTCCTATCTTGGAGCATTAGTTATTACCTTAATTGTTTGGATGTGGAAAATTATTCTTTTGAATTTTTTCTGGCCACGCATTAGAACAATTTTGTTCTGTAGACCTTTGGACATAACTAGGATCATAAGCATTCGCCATCGCCTCTCTTATTGCATGCTGGCTCACATATTTTCATAATTTTAATTATTTAATTATGTTGCCACGCCACTCCAACAAGCCAGTTTGGCTTTAGCTCATCCTTAGTTGTGCCACGCTAAAGGCTGCCATGCCATTCTCTTTCGGCCCATGCCAAATTTTAGTTTTTAAGTTTAGATTAGTTAAGCTTAGATTTTAAGTATGGCCGCCTCGCCACTACCCTTTTCTGGGTTATGCATGCTTCAAAATTTTAGTTTTAAGTGTGCAGCCTTGCACTTTTCCTTTGGTCCACGCCAAATTTTAGTTTTTAAGTTTAGATTAGTTAAGCTTAGATTTTAAGTTTGGCCGCCTCGCCACTACCTTTTCTGGACTATGCATGCGTTAAAATTTTAGTTTTAAGTGTGCAGCCTTGCACTTTTCCTTTGGTCCACGCCAATTTTTAGTTTTTAAGTTTAGATTAGTTAAGCTTAGATTTTAAGTTTGGCCGCCTCGCCACTACCTTTTCTGGACTATGCATGCGTTAAAATTTTAGTTTTAAGTGTGCAGTCTTGCATTTTCTTTGGTCCATGCCAACTTCTAAATTTTAGTTTTTAAGTCGGGCCGCCTTGCCACTTTATTTTCCAGTCCATGCCACCTTCCAAATTCTAGTTTAGAGCTGTGCAGTCTTGCACTGTCTTTGGGTCACGCCAGTTTTTAAAACTTAGATTTTAAGTTGTAAGCCTCGCCTTATCTCTTTGGTTACGCCGACTTTAATTTCTAGTTTTTAAGCTGTGCGCTACGCCTTTTCACTTTTGGTTTTCCCATCTTTAATTTTTAGATTTCAAGTTGGGCGCCTCTCCTTCTTTCTTGGTTCTTGACAGTTTATAATATTTTGATTTTAAGCTGTGCGCCTCGCCTCTTCTCCTCTGGTTTTTCCCATCTTTAATTCTCGGATTTAAGTTGGGCGCCTTGCCTTATCTCTTTGGTCATACCAGCTTTAATTTTTAGATTTTAAGTTGGACCTCCTCGCCTTATCTCTCCTGGGTTTTGCCAACTTTAATATTAGGTTTTAGTTGTGCCGCCATTGCCTTATCTCTTTCTGGTTTTTCCCAATTTGAAGTTTTGGATTTTAAATTGGGCGCCTTTCCTTCTATCTTTGGTTTTGCCAACTTTTAAGTTTCGATTTTAAGTTGTGCCGCCTCGTCTTCTCTCTTTTGGTTTTGCCAACTTTTAATTTTCGATTTTAAGTTGTGCCGCCTTGCCTTATCTCTTTCTGGTCTTTCCCAACTTGAAGTTTTAGATTTTAAATTGGGCGCCTTTCCTTCTTTCTTTTGGTTTTGCCAACTTTAATGTCAGGTTTTAGTTGTGCCGCCTTGCCATTCTCTTGTATGTTGTTGGAACGCTTTTTAGTTGAGGCATTAATTTGTGTTTCCAAGATACCTACCATTTGAAAAGTTTGATCATGCCTTATATCTGATCACGCTACCTTGCCATTCTTAATTTTAATCATGCCTTACATCTGATCATGCTACTTTACCATTCTTACTTTTAATTATGCCAGTTTCATATTGCAATTACCATTTACTTACTTAGGAAAAAAAAAAAAAAAAAAAAAAAAAAAAAAATCTTAGAAAACCCCAAAACATTCTTGCTGTCGCTTTATCCTTCTTGCCTTCAATTTTTACGTGGATACCCATAATATGCATTTCATTTCTCACATGCCGAGCTGCCTGTCCGAATGTAGGGGAGGCTCTCTCACTGTTATTGTCCGCGGCTTAAGCCGTCTCTTAAATTGATACTTTGAACTTTCATACCGCATATATTTTAGTAATTTAAGTTAATGCCATTATTTTCCTTGTTGTCTCCTATTACTGCCATGCCAGTAAATTAGCTCCATTTGCCATTAGATTTTCCAACGCCATTTCTTTAGTTAAGTACATTCCTCGCCAGTTTTTTGCCACTAGCCTTAGCCATTACCACTATCAATTTAGTTTTGATTGAAAACTTTAAGAAAGCCACGCCACTTGCATGAATCTTGATACAAACGCCAATTATTAGCCAGATAACCACGCAATTTACATTACTTAATTAGATATGCATGCCATCTAATTTAGTTCAGTAGCCACGCTATAGTTTTTAGTTACTACGCCAAGGCATATAGTAAGCAGTCCTTATTACCACGCTAAGAGTCTTAGAATTTCTTTGGTATTATTTACTTTTGCCACGCTGCCTTTCTAAATTCTGAGCATTTCATACGCTGCAAATTTTGCAAAATTGCATACGCCTAGTTGTTGCCTGCAAATTAGTCACGCCAAACAGTATTTGAGTTGAGTTTTCACCTGCCTTGAGCTAGATTAGAATTTTAATGGTCACTATTTAGGTACGCAATCTTAGTAGTCCATTGTTTCTTATCACTTCGAATGCCTTGAAACAAGTTTAGCCATTTCACACCAGAGAATTCACAATCACCTGGCGCTTATGTTTTATAGTAATTGCCTAGTTTTATGATTTTATTTTGGTTTTGATTTGATTTGCATGTTTCTCTCAACTTACAATAATCTTTCCATGCCTTTCTCTTCTCAATGTACATAAACTATGCAGTTTTGCCTCTGGCCTTCCTTCGATAACAAGAGTGTTCTTACGCCTTAACTATTTTGGGATTTTACGCATTCACCTTGTAAAATAGCACCGATTTCTGGCTTTCCTTCGCACAATTACTTATTGCCTTGCTGATTTTGAGTGAGTAGTGTAAATATTAGCCTACTTGTTTGACTCTTAGTTACTAATTGATCAGTAAGTATGTCGGAACAAGACAGGTTCTACAATGCCAATGATTTCAACTCTTCGCCACTGAATATGAACATAGATCCAGATGCTGAATCAACGCCACTACAACTTGAGATGAATCTCGCAAATTTGGACCCTGCTCTGAGAGCACCTGTCGCCACTCGCCATCGCTACTACCAAGCTGTATTGAACATTTTGGAAGAATCTCGGACGCTGAATCCTGAAAATTACTTCACTTTTGCACCCCAGATGCAAGAATTAAGCCGCCTTGCCCACGAATTTGATGTTTGGCAGTGTGAAATCACCCGTCTCAACCTGAATGTGGAGGAAGCAGATGCCGAAGCTGACACCGCAAACATTCAACGAAATTTTGATCGTGCCATGAAGTTAGCTCGCTTGCCATACTTAAAACTTTCAGAGGAAAATCGTCGACAGAACGAGACAAAATCTCAGCAGGACCAGCAAACCTTGTTATCATCTATTTCTGCCGCCGTCGCCGCCGCCACTTCTTCAAATTCTAGCCTTTTGCAGACCAACGCCGTGAGATCCGCCTTCAAATTGCCGCCACTTCAGTTGCCAAAATTCGATGGAACTTTGTCGGACTGGCAAAACTTCAAGGCTAGATATGAAGCTGCAGTTCACAACAATCCCAACTTAGGAGTTCTCGAGAAATTTCAGTTTTTACTTGCGCAGCTGAGTAACGAGCCACTGAATCGCATCAAAGGATTGCCGTTGGAGCCGAGCAGCTACGCTGAAGCCTGGAATTTGTTGTGTGAACACTATGATAGCGATAAGCGACATCTTGCCTCCCATTTCTCAGCACTGGCTGAATTGCCAGATCTAAAACAGCGAAACGAGATCCCTCCATTTTTAGCAAAGATCCAGGAGCATCTCCATGCCTTACGCGCACTGAAACAGGACTTGACCGTTATTGGACCGGCTCTCGTCATGCCAATTCTGAAGCGTTTTTCAGAAGAAATCATGGGGAGATTTGAGGACCAACGAGAGGACTGCAAGAAATTCGCAACTCTAACGGAGATTGAGGATTTTCTGAAGTCCGAAACAGTGAAGTTGTTGGACTCATCATCAACCGCCGTCGCCCCGCCTACGCAAAAAGCCACGCCGTCAGCAGCTAAGATTTTAGTCACGAGCTCGGAAGCCACGCCAGGGAGTCAGAAACCAAAACCGAAAAATTCTTCAAATTCCAAGAAAAATAAAAATTCTTCAAACCAAACTTCTGAACAAAGCCAGTCATGCCAATGTTGCGTAAGCACAAAGCCCAGTACAGACGCCTCCTCATCTCACCAGAACTCGCCGAGAATCAACCCAGCATCTGGCAGAGCATACTATTGTCAATGGTGCGAAGAAAATCACCCCTTGGTGCAATGTGACAAAATAAAATCTTTGACCGTCGCCCAACGCCGTACCCAAGTTAAAGCTGAGAGTAGATGTTGGAACTGCCTGTCCGTCAAACACCACTCCCGGTTGTGTCCCAGTACAAAACGATGTTTGCATCATCCGACAGAGAAACACAACACGCTCCTGTGCGAACATGTTCCTGCCGGAACCAGCCCCGCGCCCGCCGTCGCCCAGACGGTTCCAGCCACAGCTCCTTCGGTAAACGCCGCGGTCAGCAGTTTCTCGCGACACTCTGGAGCCGAACCAACCATCTGCGTTGCCAAATCGCCGCCAACCGTAAATCTCCTACCTACTGCATTGGTTCAACTCCGAGCGGCATCCGGCTACAGCGTTACCGTTCGAGGTTTGATAGACTGCGCGGCTACTCACAGCGCCGTCACTTCTAAATGCGCCGAATTTTTGAAGCTCTCAGCAGAAGGTGAATCTTCGACAATTAGAGGTTTCGCTGCCACGCCGGTCAGAATTAAAGGAAAAATACGCGCTGATATTCTTTCAAGATTTGGTCAACCTTTTGGGCAAAATCACGAATGGATAGTAACGGATAAAATTACTACGCAACTACCAGCAGCTCCTGTAACTGAAAGGCTCAGAGTCATGTTCGAAGAAAACCTATTAGCGGATCCGGAGTTTCACACGCCAGCCGACATTGATGTTCTCATCGGTGTAGACCTGTTTGCGGGATTATTTTCAGGAGAAGCTCACACCACGCAAGAAGGAATGGTGCATGTGAAAACATTTTTTGGAATTGTCTTCGCTGGCCCCGCTGCTCTTCAAATGCCACGCCAACAGCCAAGTTTTCAACCAGTAATTTCCGCCTTTATAGACGCCGAGTTGCCAGGACTAAGCCAACAATTTGATCGATTTTATGAAGCAGAAGCCGCCGCATCTACAATTTTATTTTGTGCCAATACAGAATTCTCTCCGCAGCCACGCCCTCTCGTAGAACCTACAATTAACGCCGCAACGCTTCCCATTCCGGAACATTTTGAAAGATTTTGGGCCCTTGAAGAATTTGCTCCAAAACCGCATTTAACGCCAGACGAAGTATATTGCGAAGAATTTTACAAGCAAACAACCACACAGCTAGACAATAAGCGTTATCAAGTTCGCTTACCATTCAGACCTAACCATCCGCCTCTTGGAGAATCACGCTCGCAAGCTGAAAAACGTTTTGTCGCCTTAGAGAAGAGATTGGATCGAGACGCCGTTTTTGCGGAACAATATAGGAAGTTTATGAAAGATTATGAAGACGCCGGTCACATGATTCCAGTGACAGCCCCATCGCCCACAGACAGCTTTCAAGGATATTACTGCCCTCATCATGGTGTACTCAAAGAATCCTCTTCTTCCACAAAATTGCGAGTAGTATTCGACGCCTCTGCCAAAAGCAGCACTGGATTAAGTCTGAATGATATTTTGTTAAATGGACAAAAATTACAGAAAGACATACGACATGTGCTCCTCCATTTCCGACGCCATCCAATTGCAATTTCCGCCGACATACGCCAGATGTATTTGCAGATTGAGCTCCATCCTGATGATTGGTTTTATCAACTGATTTTGTGGAGAAAGGACAAAAACGAACCTATACTCACTTACGCCCTCGCAACAGTCGCCTTTGGCATCAAATCCTCGCCGTTTCACGCCCTTAGGACCTTAAAGAAATTAGCCCAAGATTTTGGTCATCGTTTTCCAAAAGCAGCCGCAATTATTCTAAACGCCACCTATATGGATGATATTCAATTTGGAGCAAGCACAGAAGAAGAAGCACAAGGATTAATTGAAGAATTAATCGGTCTCCTGGCTTGTGGTGGTTTTACGATGCACAAATGGTTCTCCAGCCACCCGCAAGTTTTGTCTACGCTACCAGCCGAGAAGTTGGAAACGCCAAAGCTGAAATTTTCGCAGGAAGACAATCCTTGGTTTTCCGTATTAGGCATTCAATGGGACGGGAAAGGGGACGAATTTTCGTATGAAGTCAATTTCCGCCCGCACGCCGAGACAAAACGTGGAATTTTATCAATGATCGCCTCGATTTACGACCCGAATGGTTGGCTAGCTCCGGTCATTTTCAGAGCTAAATTATTCATGAAAGCCTTGTTTCTGCTAAAACAGCCATGGGACGCCGTAGTGCCATTGGAGATGTCGCAAAGGTGGAAAGAATTTTTCACTGAGTTACAAGAAATACGCCAAATTAGAATTCCACGCTGCCTTCCTGCGCCCAACGCCTCTCACTATGAACTCCATTGTTTTGTAGATGCCTCTCAGAAAGGATATGGATGCGTTTTGTATTTGCGCTCTTCGCCGTCGCCAAATAGCCCTGCAACCTCGGTTTCGCTGATAATGTCAAAAACTCGAGTCGCCCCAATCACGCCTGTAACTTTGCCACGCCTGGAACTCTGCGGAGCTCTACTTGCAGAAACCTTGCTTCGCGCCAATCTGCACATCTTGCATGATCATTACGATGCTGCCAAAATCCATTGCTGGACAGATAGTACAATAGTCCTTCATTGGATAAACACGCCTCCTCATGAGCTACAAACTTTTGTGGCAAACAGAGTTGCAAAGATTCGCGAATTGGATCATTTGATTACCTGGCATCATGTCAGGTCGGAAGACAACGTTGCGGATTTGTGCTCGAGAGGCATCGCCCCTTCTGATATTGTGCGTAATGAATTTTGGTGGCACGGACCTGCATGGCTCACAAAACCGGAGAAAGAATGGCCCACTTTCTCGCCTTTGCCAACGCCTAACACTGCAGATTTGGAGCTGAAAAAATGCATCGCTATAGAGCTAGTAAGCACCGCCGAGCAAGTAACGCAACAGCCTACAACAGAGGAAGAATCAGACGCACGCATGGAATACGCCTTGGCCCTCATTAGCAAAAATGATGGCGAGCTTTCTAAGCTTCAAGCCGACTACGCATCCCTCATGGGGGGGAGCTGACTAGTAGCCAACAACACGCCTTTTAACGCCTAATCAATGCAATCTCTTGCCTTTTAAACGCCTTTTACACCACTTTAACNCCACGTGAATCCACATGGAACATTTTTAGCAGGGAAGAGAAAACTCGAAGTGGAAGAGAAGGCCGAAAGTTGAAGGTGAAAACCGGAAATGGGAGAGAAAATCGGAAGTTTGCGGTGAAAAACTGAAAACTGGAAGTATGGAAGCAAAATTCTGAAAATGGAAATGGAAACCGGAATATAGGGAATGAAAATCGGCAAAGGGAGACTCTCATTCTTGTAGTTTCTCTGTCGCAACAAAAGTAACAGACCACGATGCAGTAATGTAATTTTCCGTGATGATATATATAGTGAAACTGAGCGCGCCGCCTTGGGGAGGGGGGAGAGAGGGGAAGATGCATCCAGCAAACGCTACGACTTTTTGCCCTCTAGCGGGGGTTGACAGAAACACGCACTTTTCGGGAGCCTCAGGAACCGGTAGCGACCCGGCGGAGACCAGTCCTGCCTCGTCGCTTCCCAGCTCATCACCGTTCCTCTCATCCAGTCCCGTTCCAGTTTAGCCAGCGCTTCGACTTGTCCTTCGCTTTCCTCGACCACTGCGCAGTCACAGCTTTTAGCCTTGCCTTTTGGATTTTCGCTCTTCCAGCACCTTGGTTTTTTTCTTTGCTCATTTTTTTCTCATCAGCATCCTGGTAAAGTTTATGATTCGCTTTCCACTCTCTCTCTCTCTCATTTTCTTTAGTTTTTAGCTATCACTCAAGACAGCACTTTGACGAGTGAGCAGTTCTGTTTTCTTTTACGCGCAGTCGCAGGTGTTTGTGTTCTCATTCTCCCTCATTCGCATTACGCCGTCGCCGTGTAGTTAGCTTTACGCCTTCACACACTTGTGATGAGTTTTGAGTTATGTTTTTACGCCGTCGCCACGCCTTTTAGTATGCCTAGCTAAGCACCACATTTTGAGCCGCGGACATGTGAGTTTGCCATGGGGCTTCCGCCCCCCTACGCCTTGGACTTGGCCAGCCGCCATCCATTCTAGCCTTATTATCAGCATGTGAGTAGTTGTTGTATATTTTGCGGGGGGTATCCAGGTTAGGTTTAGTTTTCTTTTTCTCTAGTTTGCCATTTTCCTTCTTCTCTTAGGTTTTTCGCCCTTTTACCCATAAAAGGTCGTGGTCCCTCGTGCCATTTTCTCTGCCATTTAGCCACTTTCCTCTCTTTCCTTCATTTTCTTCTCATGCCATTTAGAGGGTCGGATAGGGGCCGCAGTCCCCCCGATTTCGACTTTCCTCAGAAACGTCTCACCTACTCTCTCAACACCAATGATTACCCATGGGAAACACACCTTTGTGTGTGTGTAGTTTTCTGCGGGAATATTTAACGATTTTAAATTTCATTTTGCAACGCAGGTACAAATCGGCGACGCTGATTGGCTGATTAGCTGATTAGCTCGTGATTGGTTCTGTGTTTTGGTCGTTTGTTTATTTACAATCGGCCCACATTTTAGTTTAGGTTAAGGTTAGGTTTTCCTACTTTTTCCAACCAGAGACAATTTCCAACGCACACCGTCGCTCATTTTCCATTAATCATTTAATTGCGATTCGTTTTCTTTGCTTCAGCCCTTTGGGTGCGTACTCGGAGCTCTCTAGTTTTCTGTTCTCCGCATGCAACGTGACAAAAGTTCCTCCCCTGATCAATCTAGTTTTCTGATGGAATCTTCGTGTGGCAATGGCAATACCTGGGTTTTTTCCCTCACCCTCTTATTCAATAATCAAAATCGCAGTTGATCCTGTTACACCTCACTCTTTATCGGCACTGTGCATTTTGTATCTTACCTGACCGAAGGAGTAGTCAAGTCAGTACCAAATGATGATCTTTGTCTTCCATTCTTGCATGTGTCCATGGACGGAAGGGTAGTTACAGTCCACCCTCGTGACCCTCTTGTCTGCCTTCTTAGGCATGATTCAGGTAAGACTAAACGTACTTTAAACACATTTTTAGTATAATCTAGAACCTTTTTTTTAAGTCGCTTCATTGGCTCGTGTTCCGATTTGGAATCCATGAGCATAAATAAATTTTATTTTGTGTCCTCAAGCATCATCGCAGGGCTAGTATGTGCTGCTATGCTCTAGGTTTTCAAAATTTCAGGGATTAAAGCCGAGTAGAATCTGTTTCTGTTCCACTCGCCAGTTCCATGGAAAGATGCTTCTTCCGGGATTCGTACCTGGGACTTACTGTCCCAGAATTGGACGCGCTGACCACAGGCCAATCTGCGGGTCGATTGTTGAATGTTTATCAAATGAACTCGATCGATAACTCCCTATCTTTACAATGCTGAGTATTGATCAAGGTCATTCAATAACGATTCCAAAATCGACGTGCTGGCTGGCTGACCGTGTCAACATCCTTAATCGTAATTTTTTGACAATAAACCTTATCTTATCTCATCTTAACCTAGAAACTATGGTGAAAGATGATGCACCGCAATCAAGAGTAATGTTCCATGTGGCATAGTTGTTCCATGGAGTTTGGCTTATGTGTAAATTTTGCAGTAGCATACTCCAAGCACTTAGCAGATATTCTGTCAAACTACATCGCTGCTATTTTATAGAGTATGTCTAAGATTCAAAGACTGTGACATCTGGGTCTGTCGCAGAGAATTATAGGGAGCGGCAGCGACCCTATGTCGAGCCTATAGAGATCCTCATCTAAGAGCAGGGTGCAGCGACTGTTATCTTAAAGCTACCTGTACACATTTTGCGTTATTTTATGGTATCTCTGTGAAAATTTAATGAAACTCAAAAACCCCTGCACTCCGGATCACAGAATTTTAGAAGGCTTGTAGGACGCAAAATTTGGAGATGATTCATTGAACAGTCAATCAAAAATCGCTAATTAATTGCGGTATTTTTTGTGTGAAATTCATAACACCCGTGTCGCATCACATTCGTGCCTCGAGATTTTGCCTTCAAACGGCCATCCATATTCAATATAAATGGACTTCATTTTGCAATTTGGAACCACAATATCTAGCTCATGTGTAAAATCACTCATGTGCGTAGGGAAATGGATGGTACATACGTTGTTTCTCAACTGAGCCAGAAATCAAGGATCAAAGTTATCGTCACATTCAAGTTCACCACGCAGCAGCAGTGTCAGTGTGTATGTTTACATAGATAGAGCCTATATTCTCCAAACTAGCTGTACATTAAGTATTTTGTCTGATTTCTTGGAAAGAATCTCAGATTAAACTTGCAACACCTACTAATTTTCCAATTTGTTTTTTTCCTATAACAACTAGTCTTTAGGAATCTTCAATTTATTGTGTTTACTATTCATTTGTTGTTTTCATTGAGGTGCATGCCTTACATACTATAACCTCATCTACTCTTTTTTTTAATGATTAATAATGATTCTTTCAGGTTGGCACTTTATTACTCTATTAAATCATGGTTTACACAGTGAGGAAGAAAAGAGCACGTAGACGGCTTAAGTACTTATTAGGAAAGCAGAAAGTTGCTGAAAGATTGCTGTTAGACCACTCAGTCGCAGCTCGCCCTCCTGAAGATGAAAGTACTCAAAGTGGACATCAAGTGTTCAGAGACGAGGTAAGCCATTAAACCAGAGCTGGCAATGGCAGCATCAATTGTACCATTTCGTATTTTACGCAAAGGCCCAGAGCATTGAAGAGACTGCTTTCTCTCGAGCTTGCTAATGCCGAAAACGGTTCAAAGCAACGATCTTTCATGCTAGTGGTGTATGTAAATGGATGGATGATGCGAAGCCAACATGCCCAGCAGAAGTCGATGGCAAAGCAACACACAAGGGCTAATCCCATCTGCTTGCGTCAGTATGAGCCAATCCCTAACCTATCAGCCTAAATTACTTTTCCTTAATTTTCTACTATCTACAGGCCAAACTCCTTCCACCCATAGCACCTGGGTAGATGTTTCCTGTCTCCCCAATTTCCCCATCCCCCCAAAACTGCTGTAAATCCGTTTCGTTAATGTTTCATTCTTTCTTTTTATAGCTTTCATATCGCAGTCCTAGAAGCTTTGCCTCAATGCTGAAAGCCTCGGAGAATGTCACAGATAACGTTCATGTTGAAGATCTAATTGAGGAAGTGAAAAAGAGACCAGCCCTGTGGGACAATAGCCTGCCGGAATCTAAGAACAGAAGTATTAAGTATCGTGCATGGGGTGACATATGCTCTGCACTATTAGAGCATTTTTCACAGAAGACCATCCTAGAAAAAGAAAATATTCGTAAGTTTTGACTGACAATATGAAAAAAAGAGCCCACGTTTCATGGCGGTAAATAAATTAAAACAAACACAAGAAAATGGGTGAATTAGGCTGAAAGAACACAGCAAAAAGCTTGGTACAGGGTTGCAACAGTCAGGGAATAGCGGGGAAACGGGAAATGTCAGGGAATTTTTAAAAGTCAGGGTAAACCTGAAAATGTCAGGGAAAAATCGTCTAGTCTCATTTATTTGCTTTCCAGAATGGGTTTGACGTTCCGAACGACAGATGTTGCCCGAAAATTATTTCAAATTATGTCTTTATAACAATCTGGCATACATTCAGTTGTCAGGAGATTCTACCAGATTTGTCAGAGAAATCAAGGAATTTCATTTTTAAAATTCTGTGGCAACCCTTCTATGGAGAAAAATGAGGCTCTGACCATCATAGTAAGATTAAGGCAAAGGAAATCCGAGGGTGTAGCATCCTTACGGAAGAATCCCACCCAACCTATGACTCATAAACCAATGAAAGCAGGGTTGAACTTTTTGTACTGCAAAAGATGAGCTAGTGCCAAATAATTTTGTGTGATGGTGAGCAATGTGACAGCAAAGAAGATTCTGCACTCCTGAAGATAGTGTCATCTTAACTTGTCTTGTACAATCCGGTTTACAGCTCTTGTCTCTTAATTTCAGAGAAAAAGTTGTTAACAAAATGGCACGCAATTCGAGACAACTATGTTAAGCACAAGAGGAAAGAGCAGTCGGAATTGGATGAAGCAAGACGGACAGGAGCCCCTTTGATTCTGCCTCCACGCTACATTTATGCCGATAATCTGACATTTCTGGATCATTCTATCTCGCTACAGGCCTCTGCGGATTCCTCGGATGTTGAGGAGATTGTCAAAGAGCACCCGGAGAGTGAGGAAATTGTTTTCAAGGAAGAGAAGGTAATAATCATCATATCACTGTTGAAGTTGCGAATTTCCCAATTTCAAACACCAGCAGTTGACTCAGACGTTTTTACATTGTGTTTTAAGGGTCAAAATCAGAGGAAGAAACCGAAAATCAGTTATTAAGTCCATGAGTTACCTTATACGTAAAAGGTTTTCATCATATTTGTAAGTGAAGTTTATTCGATTACTCAGTAAGATGGAATTTATTCAAAATTTTGACAGAATGCGTTTTGTCAGCACTTTTTTACTGAAGAAGCTGAAAGTGAGAAGCGTAATAAATCAGTCTTTGACAGAGAAATGAATGCAATGGAATGAAGCATGCATCAGAGAGAGTGTAAGTGGCTGTAGTGTGGCACACGAGAAAAGTTGTCTTAGGAACTGATGACAGTTTCTCAAGCTTTGGTTTGCAATTTCAGTGTGTGGATCTGAGTTTGCAGTCATGCTGATATTCTTCACTTTCTTGATGAATGCTTACCTAAAGGAAGAACAACATCCTGTCACTCACTATAATTTTTTTGGGCAATTTTTTAGTGAAAATCACTCACAATACAGGAAAATAGGAGGGGGAAAATACAAGTTTAAGATTGCAAATTTACACTTCCTCAAGTTTAGAAGGATCTAAAAATTAGAATGTCTTCCCATTTATGCTTGATGATGGTAGTCAAGAGATGGATAAATTTCATAATCTGGATTGTTTAATGATGCTCTCCAGAGTGGTATGTGAGCAGCATTTAACAAAAATCAATTGAATGATATTTTTAAGAAGAAATGACTAATATGTGGTCCGCCTAAAATTTGTTTGAGAATGGGGGAATCAATAATGCTCAGGGTACTAATAAAATCTCTTAAAATCACTATAATTTTTTAGGCAATTTTTTAGTGAAAATCACTCGCAGAGAAATGAAAAATGTGTACCAAGATAACTGCGGTTTTTTTTCTACCCTTGTCCGCCAAACATGGGTCAAATTGATCAGGCGCATTTTAAAAATGTGTATAATTCTCATAATCGGCTGACCCGTGCTTTGGTAAACTATAAAAACCTTCTTTACTGCAGAACCTGCAGAGTTTTTGCAAAAAGAAACTCTCTGGGATGATTTTTTTTTTTTTGCTACCTTCCCTGAATATTTTTAGTCAATTTTTTTCTCTGGTAATGATTTTTTGTAGTTTGATACCCAATATCTACCCCCTCATTCATAAAGGCAACGGTAACCTGCCAAACAAGTTTGGCCAAATCGACGAAGAAAAGTGTGCAATGAATGATGCTGAAATCCGTTTGCAATTATCTGCATTCGTTGAGCCGCTATCGCGAAAAACAGCTGAGCAAGTTAGCGCTATCTATTGAGGAAAAAACAGTTTAGTGAAAACAGCGTAAGTAGAGCACTTACGCTAGTTACCGTTTATAAGTAAACGGTAAATGCGATTTAACCGAAAATCTATACAGTTCTTCATCAGACCAAAATGGACAAAATTACAAAATTTGAATCAGCTAACGTAAATCTAACGATAGTTATCGTGAACGCGAGAATTGACGACACAGGTCGGGTAACTATTATAGGTGGGATGGGATGGGATAGTTGGACTAAATTTTGCAATTTGGAACTATAAATTCTAGCCCGGTTTAAAAACAACATACGTGCCATTAGTTTCCCTATGCACATAAGTGTTTTTCCAGAAGAGCCAGAATGTATAGTTCCAAATTGCAAAATGCAGTCCACCTGTCGTGAACGAAAGAATTGACGACACAGGTCGGGTAACTATTATGGTCCAGTTACACGATCAAATTGAAGCTCTGATTGGTGGAAAAAGACCTGAGGTGAGGATGCGACCAATGAGAGGCCCAATTTGATGACTCAATTTGATCGTGTAACTGGATATAGGATGGGATAGGATATTAAACGAGTTTCAGATGCTAGCGCGCTCTCGCGTCAACGTCCACAGCTTGTTGCTTATACGGCAAACTTGTGTTTCAGATTTTCCCTATCCAGTCGGGCCCATAGAGTCGGGCCTCTAACCTTCCCCTTCCGTACTCTCTCATGAGCGCGTGACGTCATGAGCTCTGTCTCGCATTTCGCAGTCTGCACTCTGCGTTCTGTCCCCGGTGTCGAGCGGCCGACGCGTGTTCGCGAGAAGTTATTTGCGCTCGATCTCGCTCGTTCTGGCCGACTCTTTTTTCTTTGCTTCGGTGTGACTATCACCACTTGTTTTTTTTTTGTTTTTTTTTTTTTTTTTAATTTTATTTTATTTTATTTTTATTTACTTAATGAATGATTTACCATTTCATATTGCCGTGCTTATTCAAGGGTACCTATTGTGTCTACCCTCCTTGTTCGTCGGCGATTTTTATCAGCAGTTTCTATATTAAATTCTTTAGTATGGCGTGTGCTGTGTTAGGATGCTCTGAACGTCCTACAAAAGACAGTGAAGGAGCAAAACTGCATTTTCATACCTTTCCTAATCGCGATAAGTCGCCAAAAAGGCATAAACAGTGGACAATATTTTGTGGAAGAGAAAAATTTACTCCCGGTAAAAGTTCACGCATTTGCTCCAGACACTTTAAAGACTCAGACTACGATTCGTCTCATATCCTAAAACAACAGCTGATGCCGTCTGCCAAACTACGCGGTCCGCAGCTGAAACCCGGGACTGTTCCGTCCTTTTTACCTGAAAATTTGGAGAAAAAGCAAACTCAAAATCGCCGGGTCAAACGTCTTAAAATGAAGGAGAAGGCAGAAAATGTTGCGAAAAGGAAAAAACCAGTCGCCGATTCAGTGAGTGGCATTTGCACCAATCAGTTTTGTCGGCTCTTTCAACAACGTCAATCTCATCAGCCTGTGTCGCCTTATCAAAGCTAACCATGAAAATATCAAGGTCAGGTGTTGTGATTGGCTTATTCGATGACTTGGACCATTCCTAGCCCTTGACCTTGACATTTTGATAGTGTGACACAGGCTTTAATCAGATACCGTGTCTTCTTCATTTTCTGATGGGCCGCCGTGCTGGCTCCAAGTAGGTTCAGACGAGTACGGCTGATATTGAGCCATAATCGGTTCATATCCGGAACGGGATTCTCAAAAGTTAAACTATAAATATATAACAAGGCGTAATTTTAAAAACAGAATCACCTGAGCGAGACACGACTGAGAAATAGCGACAGACAATCAAGCGATGATCGGAGCAGTTGCAAGGCGACTTTGCAGTGGCGTAACGGACTACCGCTGGCCCCCCCCGCAAAATTTTTTCTAGGCCCCCCATGTCAATAAAATTCCAAAATTATCCCCCCCTCCCGCCCCTTCCTATTGTTTGGCCCCAGACATCTCAAATCACGGACTTGGACTTGGAATGCCTCATCCCTTACCGTCCCGGATCCCGTACTCGATTAATTGGACCCCTAAAGGATCAAGGATCTAAAGAGGGCGGAGGCCCAGCCTAGGCCCAAGGATCTACAGAGGGGCCCAGGCCCAAGAATCAAAGGGCCCCCAAGAGCCTTGGGGGGGCCCCTCTCACAGCCCGTATTACGAAAAGTGACAAAAAAAAGAAAAAAATGTTTATTTATCACTGAGTGGACATTGGAAAGCAGGGGCCCTCCAGCAAACAAAAAGTTAGGAACAGTCTGAAAGGAGTACGAAAAACCCCGAGCTAACAATAAAAATCAGAGGAAGAAGCCCCATCTCGGAAAGTAAAGGCCCAAAGTTCGAAACCAAAGCAAAGCACCAAAGAGAGAGAGAAAAAAAAATTCCGGCGGCCCCCTGGACGCCTGGGCCTCCCTGCATAGCAGGGTCTGCGGGGGCGCCCGTTACGCCACTGCGACTTCGCAGCGCCAAACAGCGAACGCGCCAGGGACCGAATTTTGTCGGCTTTTTCACATGGAGTGCAACATCCATCGATGAGTTCAAACCGCACCACCGGCCAAACAGAAGCGCTAAGCCGGACTTGAGTGCAATCGAGACCCGTCCTATCAGTATATTTAAGTACGGTGGAAGGACCGACATAATTCTGCCTCAGACTTTGAGTTGTGTGCGTGTGAACCGCAACATAGACAGGGCCGGATTAAGGGGGTGGCAACATGGGCCGCGGCTCATGGCGGCAAATTTTGCAATTTTTTTAAATGTAGGTATAAAAAAATCGGATTCAGAAAAAAAAATTATCAATGAGAAAAAATGACGAAATCTCTATTTCCTGAGAGTATAGTAATTTCTAATTTGGTCGTTGTTCGGTGATACAAGAGACAGCATCTTTAATTATTCGAGTCAAGAGAGGAACTAAACACGCAATTTGGCCTGGAGCTCAGCGCAGAGAGGAATGATGACGAGGACTTGAGATGAAAAGGACAAGCCCTCTGCGCGGCGGTCGGCATGTAACACATATTAGCGCCTACAAGACTACACGAATACTTCACGCATTGCATCAAACACAGTGCGGTTATTGTGGTCAGCGTGAAACGGATAGCGCCTTCAAGACTGCGTGAATACAATACTTCACGCATTTCGCCAAACACAGTGCGATCAGCGCGGCGTAGCGGCGGAAGTTAAAATTATTAAACCACATTTATGTTTGTTCTTTCATAATTTTTTGGTTCATCTCTTATAAATGGAGGACCTTGTCCACACAGAGATAGATTTGCGGAACGTAACTTTCGCGCAAATCTCCGTGAAATTTTGCTAGTAGTTTTGACAGGGCTTTCGCAAAAAAATGTATCCAACACGAGCATGTCCCCTCCCCCTCCGGCACGTTCACTTCATGGTTTTTATTGATGTTTCAAAACAAATGAGGAGGGGGCGGCAAAACACAGGCGGCCCACTCGCGGCAAGTAGGTAAATCCGGCCCTGAACATAGAGTCGTAATGTAAATGGGAGAGCTGGCTCCATGTTCTGTTCGACGAGTTCCGAGCCCGGTTTGCGGATCACTTTATCGATACATATTCGATCCAAAATGGCGGTGTGGAATACGTAGTAATTCCATTGCCGGGTCCCCGTGTATAGCAAACAATCGATTATGTATCGAAAAAGTGACCCGGCGCCGCACAGGAGTCTCGGAATTCAGGACCTGGAAATTGTTCAAAAGTGGCGCCAGCTCTCCCACTTACATTACAACTCTATGCACTCTATGACCGCAGTCGCACCGGGAGCGCATGACGTCACCAGTCAGACTCACAATCTTTCATATCTCAGCCGATTTTGCGAATTTTTCGTTCGGAACGGAGCCATTTTGCCTCTTATACCTTCCCGCTTCAATGGGTCACTAAACCGTGAACGAATTTTGACTTACGAATATAGTTTTCTGAAGGAAAATGACGCGTAGAACACGATGCGCACATTAAAATCGCGAACAAGTAAATAACCGAGAAATGCGCAGTTCAAATCGCTCAACTTATACGCAAATTTAAAACGCCCCGGTTTTGCGCCGCGCCGCGCCGAATGATGTCATCCGGCACCAATCAGAAGCGGGCACGGGTTTCCACGACTTCCGTCAAATGTCTTTCTACTCTTCGTATATGAAAACAATACTAAAGTCGAAATTATATCTTTTGAATTCAAGACTTGAATCTCATTCATATGTTAGCTGTAATAAACGAGCAACAATTCCATATTGAAACACGTTTTATTTTAACAAACATCAGAGGAAAATGAGAGAAGATTGCGATATGACTACCGCAGTGCGTCAACACCGTCAGTTTCCCGCCATTCCGGGGCGTTTGAAATGTCTTGCAGTTTTTAGATTTTTGAAAAGCGGGTTTCTCCGCGATTTCGGCTCCATAAAAATGCGGAAAAATCACCACGTTATCTACTCACATTGTACTTTCAGAATATTCAATAAAGTAAAGAAGGTTTAGTGACCCATTTTAATTGCTATCTCATTTTCGATTTTAGGGCTGCTGTCCCCTTTAAAGGTTCGAGATAACTTCATAAAGGAAGATACGCGAATAATATAAAGCACTTTGGGATTTGAGTCTTTTTGAGAATGAATGGACTCTTCAGGTGTTCTTAAGGTCTTAAAATCCTTTCTCAGCTTGGCATTTTGAAACAAGATGCACCCATGAGTGAGCAATACCAAACCACCGAAAACAGACCTTAAAAATTAGTACCTACACTCGGTCATCCAAGAATTATATTAATTTCAATCTCCAACCAGGGCCGGATTTTCCTACTTGCCGCCCCATGGGCCGCCTGTATTTTGCCGCCCCTTCTCGTTCGTTTTGAAGCATCAATAAAAACCATCCAGTGATTGTGCCAGCGGGGGAGGGGTGTATAAGACGCGTTTAATCGTGTTGAGCACATTTTTGGGAAAGCCCTGTCAACACTACTAGCAAAAAAGGTCACGGAACTTTGCGCGAGAGTCAAGTTTCGTGAACCTATCTCTAATGGACAAGGCCTTCCATTCATAAGAAATGAATGAAAACATTATGAAAGAACAAACACAAAAGGTTTAACGATTTTAACTTCCGCCGACCGCACCGCGTTTGGCGCAATGCGTGAAGTATTCGCGAAGTCTTGTAGGCGCTATGCGTCTCACGCTGACCGCACTGTCTTTGACGCAATGCGTGAAGTATTCACGCAGTCTTGAAGACGCTATCCGTTTCACACTGTCCGCAATGACCGCTTTGTGTTTGATGCAATGCGTGAAGTATGCGTGTAGTCTTGTAGGCGCTAATATGTGTTACATGCCGACTGCCGCGGCGAGGGCTTCTTTTTTTCATCTCAAGTCCTCGTCATCATTTCTCCCTAAGTCGCGCCGTTCCAAACGAAATTGTGGTTTCTCTCTTAACTCGACTAATTAAAGGTGCTGTCTCTTGTATCACTGAAAGACGACAAAATTAGAAATTACTATACTCTCAGGAAATGAGAGATTTTGTAGCCTTTTCTCGTTTGTAATTTTTCTTTTTCTAAATCCGATTTTTTTTATACCTACATTTAAAAAAATTGCAAAATTTGCCGCCCCCTAGATTTGCCGCCATGGGCCGCGGCCCATGTGGCCACCCCCTCAATCCGGCCCTGTCTACAGCAAAACATAAATTCTAGCTTATTTCTATGTAATTATACATACAGCATTTGTAGCACTTATTTTTTTGTGTAGAAGCACATTATTTCAGTAAGAAACAATCAAGATCCACGTAAAATTTCTAGAACCAGAAGAAACTGAATCAAATATTACATTTAATATATAGGCGATATTGATGGCCAAAGCGCGAAACCACGTATCTTTATTGCAGTATTTCAAAATGTCCGCTCCTATTTAATTTTTTTCGATCAGAAACTAACCAACTTCATAGCTTGAAATGTACGAGAATATCCCGCTACCAGCGAGGAAAAATCTATTAAGTTTCCAAGAAATTACGCCGACTATTTTTCCGAAGAAAAAATAAATTATGACGAGAAGTCTGAAACGTCGCAAATGGAGGTACGTGGTTCCGCATTTTGACTATCGATATAGTTTTACGCAGGATTCCATTTTTATTAAGATTTTATACATACATATAGGTCGCTTTACAGCACTTCCTCGCGCTCTATGACTCCTAACCTCCACTGCTCTCTTTCAAACCACAAATCTTGGGGGATTGAGCACCTTAACATTTCCGCTTCAATGCCCTCCCTCCGACCTTTCATTGGGCGCCCTCTGCGTCTTTTCCCAGGAGGAACCCAATCGAGGACATTCTTCGACAACCTATCTCCTGCCATTCTCTGGACATGACTATACCAAATAAGTTGTTTCGTCATAATGTCGTGCACGATGGGCTGCTTGGCATCCATGATCTCCCGTACCGTCTCATTCCTGACGCGATCCTTTCCGGAAATACCAGCGGATCTACGCCAGCAGTCCATCTCTGTTGCCTCTGAAACCTCCCGGGTCCTCTGTTTCATCGGCCATACTTCACACCCGTAGGTTACTGTGCTCTTGACAATCGCGTTGTAGATGCTTCTTTTGTTCTCTTTGGGGATCTTTTGGTCCCAAAGGACTCCATTTAACAAAAAGAGAAAGAAAATCAAGATTTTATTCAAGAGGAATGGAGATGTTGCATGTGTGAGGAATTTGCGATTTGACTGCTGATTCTTTATGTAAAAGTTTGCGAGAAACACGATGGTGCCACCGGTTTTCTCTGAAATCAATTCCCAAGCTCAAAAAAAGCTTTCAAGTTGAGGCCAAAATGGAGGGGATATCCCACCCTACCCTGAAAGTCCACGTGGACATCCAGACAAACTCTCCATGCAAAGATAGGGAGCAAATACATTGACAGAGCTGCCACTTTATTTGGGGACTCCAAAACTGAAAACACGGCATCACTGCTAATGTATTTGCTCCCTATCTTTGCATGGAGAGTTTGTCTGGATGTAGACGTGGACTCTCAGGGTAGGGTGGGATATCCCCTCCATTTTGGCCTCACCTTGAGAGCTTTTTTTGAGCTTGGGAGTCGATTTCAGAGAAAACCAGTGGCACCATCGTGTTTCTCGCGAACTTTTACATAAGAATCAACAGTCAAATCGCAAATTCCTCACACATGCAACATTCCCATTATTTTTTAGAGATGAATTTTGGCGTTTCAGTCTTTTTGAGAATGACCAACTTCTTTGTCCTCTAGATCGACTTTGAGGAGGATCCAAACTTCTCAGAGCCCTCCATTAAAAAGGAACCCATACTGGAAGAGCCGAGCACCTGGCAAGACGATCCGTGCTCATCCTCGACTGCCGCTTGCGACCCCCTACCCGATCGGGAATCACCGGAGACAACGTTCCAGCCCCAAGGGTGGCATCAAGAGACGGTTGACTCGGAGCCAGGAGGAAAGCGGAGACGCGTCGAAGATGTCAACGGCGACGCTGCCTTTTTCGAATCTCTTCTACCTCTGATGAAAGGGTTCGACAGTCAGAAAAGGCTCCGGTTTCGTATGCATGTCATGTCCGCCCTCGCGCGTTTCTGTGATCCTAATTACTCGCATTCAGAAAGTGATTAAAATATAGTGTCAAGAAACCTGAATAACCTAGAGTACCTTTATAGACAGAGTATGGTCATTTCTGTTCCGGTTTTTCATTGGTCGCGTGAAAATAGGCTGACACGATGTTCTTACGGCCGTAAATAAACAAACAAAATGGCTGTTATCAGCAAGCAAGATTGAGGTTATGCACATCTTACATCCTCCTGTGATAAAGGTGAAAGGCGATTTAACAATGTTTTCATGTTTTTTTCGTGTGTTATTCGCAGATATGCTCGTTTAAATTGTTACTGCCGCATAATTGAAATATTTGTCAAATTAAGCTTCTTATCGATGTTACTGTGAGCCGCCATTTTGTTTGTTTATTTACGGCCGTAAGAGCATCATGAAGCCTAAAAACTCGTTGACCAATCAAAAAGCGGAACAGTTTTCATGTAGTAAAAAGATACGAATGGCCATACTCTGTCTATAAAGGTACTCTAGAATAACCAGGATTCATCAGGGAATCTGTTCCAAAAACGGAAAAATCAAGAATTCCAGACACCTTGGTTTACCCTGAGACGGACTTATATGTTTCATTAGATCTCACACAGTCGTACAAAGCTTAAGGTGGATAATTTTCTAATCAGATCGTTGTTAGTTTTTGGCATACTTGTAGGAAATTAGATGTTTCCTATGATGATATGCAATTATCTTTCGCAGCTCATGTAATGGGTTCCTCTGTTGACAAAACTCTTGGAGAGCCATTGTAATTTTTGAGTTACGATTGCTGAAGACAATTTGTTTTCCCCTCTGCCAAAAAATGATTACACATGGGAAAAATGGACCTATTTGTACCATGGTGGAGGGAACAGTCAAAGATTGACTCGGCTCTTGATGTACCTGAGGTTTTAATTTTCTCGCTTGTAGGATACCATCATCTTCGGTTCCTGCTGCTTTCTCTTTTAACTGACCACACTCCTCCCGAAAAGCTTTGAGGGCATATTCAATCTCAAACACATGCGACCGCTTCCCCCTCCTCCAAAAATTAAATTTTCATTTCGGAAACCTTCCATCATTTTCATCATTCTTAATTCGTCAGAATCACCAACCAAACTCAATTTGCATACTATTTTAAAGACTTACACTTGTGCGTAATAAACTTCTTCTGATTTCTAGAACTATCATTATAAATAAAAAAATAAGGAAGAGGTAGAAAAATATACGTAACATTCAGTCTATAATTGGACTGAGTTAAGCAGAAAGGAACCAACCCACATTTTGGAAAAAATTGAGTTATGAGTGGTTTTGAACTCAACCACTGCTCTACTATCTATCGCCAAAAATTCAAAGTTTTTGATGGAGCAAATTTTGCAGAAATTGAACTCAAAGTTTATCTTTTACATTGAGTCTTATGCAGGAGCCAAACTTTAAAGCTCTTTTTCTCGGTTCGATCCCGATGTGGCTTGGTTCCTTTCTGTTTAACTCCGTCCAATTAACATAGGATAACAAGACAGGTGCATTCTGAGCTGCTTGTCATTAAGTTAAGTATTCACTATGCAGCATGCACCACAAAACTCGCTTTGTTCACATGATGATATTACCTACTGCTACATATCACATAGGAAAAATTCAACAATTCTTAGATGCATATTAAATAATAAATTAGGGACAAACAAATTTCGTTTTCAAAAGTGGTCATTGTTATTGTTTTTAAAAAAAAGACAAAAGGGGTATTATTTTGCGCCAAAGTAGGTCATTATCATTACCTTTTATTTACCATTTTGGCTACCTCCTCACATAGAAAATTAAGTAAATGCTACCACCAAAATGGTACAACTTGACGATCTTGTAATTGATATTTTCATCGAAACAATTAAAAATGCATGTCCGTAAAAAATTTCAAAAGTATTACTGCCGCGCAAACAGTGTCCTCTTCATAAGTCAATAATTTAAAAAATGAGGAACCGACACATACTCAGTCGCCCAGACCTACCACACCAGGCCTTTTTTCGATTAATTTAGGTTGTACGAAGTCCAGAACCGTGGTAACAAATGAGGAATTGACACCAAGGAATCCGAGTTTCATGGTCCCAGAGCCCCCCCTGAGTCCCCTTGGGGCGTAAAATAGGGATCTGTTTACTTTGAAAGTCAGGGTTTATGTCATACTTTTGAAATTACCTTATCGGAATCATTTTCATTCACATCACGCACGGAAAATTTTAACTAAAATTATGACACCAAGAAATCCTAAATCAGGCCACTGCGCACTGGTGTCCAAAATACCGACCGCTAAAGGTGGGGGACAGAGCCCCCTTTCAGAAAATGCAAGTTCCCTCATTTGACGTAGAGCCGCGGAAAAAAGGCGTTTTCATGAGTAATCGAGCCCAAAGAATCTGAATTTGTGGGTCCCGTTGTCTCCAGAGTCTTTTCTGATAGGGCACAAGGGGACCCTGAACTCGTAAATTTAACCCGTGTCGGGGTTCCCCCTGTGCCCCATCAGAAAACACTCTGGGGACAACGGGGCCTACAAATTCGGATTCCTTGGGGTCGAGTACTCAAGAAAACGTCTTTTTTCCGAATCTCTAGGTCAATTGAGCAAACTTGCACTTTTTGAAAGGGGGCTCTGTCCCCCACCTTTAGAGGTCGGTATTTTGGACACCAATGGTCCGATTTAGGATTTCTTGGTGTCGATTTAAGTTAAAATTTTCCGTGTGTGATATGCATGAAAATGATTCCGATGAAATAATTTCAAAAATTTGACATAAACCCTGACTTTTGAAGTATACAGATCCTTTTTTTTACGCCCCAAGGGGACCCACGGGGGCTCTGGGACCATGAAATTCGGATTCCTTGGTGTCAATGCTTCACTTGTCCCCGCGGTCCTAGACTTCGTACAACCTAAATTAATCGAAAAACGGCCTGGTACGGTAGGTCTGGGCCACCCTGTATAAAGATAAAACATGAAAAATAAGGCAAAAAGGAAGAAGAAAAGTAGTACATATATGAAGGAAAAAAAATTAAAAAACTCAGCTCCACCATGCAGGTTCGAAAACTTGATGTTTGCTGACACTTCACCTATTCAGTGACTCTTAGGACATATGCAAAAGTAAAGAAACAATAAAAAAAGAAGAAAGAAAGAGATCAACATGTAAAAGAAAGGGGGAAAAAAGAAAATAAAAGGATGTAAAAAAAATAACACAAAAAATTAACTAGCTGAAGCAGTTTTATCTTATCTTGATGCTGTCTCCATTCATGCTGATCTCATGCTGCATTTTGATTGCTGCCATTAGTGACATTTGCTGGGTTTCCTTGGTTGGCATTGTCACCTGCTCCATTTTGATTGTTGCCATTAGTGACATTTGCTGGATTTCCTTGGTTGGCATTGTCACCTGCTCCATTTTGATTGTTGCCATTAGTGACATTTGCTGGATTTCCTTGGTTGGCATTGTAAGTACCTATGTTACCTGTGTAGGTATTTGTGACCAATGCCCACTTTTGGAATGCTGTTGTCTTGGTGTTTCACTCCATGGTACCCACTGCTGACTAGTATAAAGGATTTTTTCCTAATTATCAAGAGAGATGTCGGAGAAAAAAGAGGATGGACTAGATAGTTGACAAGCTTCTATGTAATTTGTATTGCTTAGTTCAAAATTGACCTTAGTTTTTTGCGTTGACCCATTATCTTCCCACAAAATGGGGTTTCTAAAAAAAAATGGAGTTTTTTGTGGGGAAATTCAATTTTGATTCAATTTTTTTGGGAAAACGGTGCATAATATTTAAAATCAAGGCCATTTTCGGATGCAGTAGCTAAAGTTACTTCAAATCAGACTTTAATGGCACCCATCTTTCATTGTAATATTTATTTAAAAAATAAAATAGGAGCGAAAATTTTGAGTTACAGCTAAAAAAAAATCTAGTCATATGCTATTAATATTTGATAGCTTGGCCTTGGCTGTAGATGACCTACTGCGGGCGCTTAAGCATGAACCTAACTTTTATTTTCAAGGGATCCATTTCTCATCCAATATGTCCACGTTGTGGCTCACTACACCTCTCAACACTGTTACAGTCAGTGGCGCGACGTGCTTTATGATTATCGATTGACCTCCCATATAAATGTATGGAAAAATATCGATAGACAGGGTGTTTACACTTCAATAATCGATTCTTTACCATGGCTTTAAATGGAGAAATATCGATAATCGATTAATCACGCCTCGCCACCGATTGCGGTGTGGTGAAGAATGGGGAAAAGATATGGAATCGGAGGGAAGCCTAGAAGGCATACAGCTGTTACGGACTGGCCTGACCGTGGAGACAACGATGAAAGTAGGGGAAAGAGGAAAAGAGCAAGAAAATAAACGTGGGATTCCCAATCGCTGATAACTGATAAGTCGTGAATGTAGAGTCGGTGCGAGAGCTATTATTCTGTGGCCACTATAGCGGTGCACTAAAGTGTATGGCGGGTTACGGAAAACTATTTTTCGCAGGAATAACGATCCCGCTTGTACTCTTTCATGCGTACGTGCTGGTAAAGTCGGATTTTACGATTTTTGGGACGTAGTCAGACACGAAAATTTCTGAATTCCATCACTCCGTTGCTTTTGAAAGTTTACTGAACCACAACAAAAAACCCAAATAAGCCAAAGTGCGTGTAGTTACGATGTCAGTGCCACGGGCGGGCTGTGCTGTGTTGCCAATTGTTGGAGGATAGGTGACTTGCCCGGATTTGTCTAGGTTCTATTCGGGTCCTTTACGGATACTTTGTATGAGGGAGATCGAACTGACACTTACAAGTTCAAGGTTGTGACTTATAGTTATCCTTGAGTAAGGGACTACTTGCATTGTAATTCCAGTATTCAAGCAGCATTGCCAGAATCTGAATGCAGTTCCCTAGAATTTTGCTTCCCCACCAGCGCCCTTATAATTGAAAACATAGGCGCAGCAAATTTATTTCGAAATTCCCATGCTTGTACTCATATCGCAACACATGAAAATATGCACTACCTCTTCTTGCAACGCCAATCTAGAATTGTGACAACCACTAGGAAACTAACAACCGACACAAAAGCTAGGCTTTCTTTGGGGACTTCAAACACAGCCTTGAGAAACAACATTAGAAGATTACGTGTGTAAAGGTGAGAAGTTAATTTTTTTATTTCAGGACAAACCGTAAATTATACCAATGGT